GACATATTCCATATATTCCTACTGTTTTCAACTACCAAGAATATTTCACCAGTTGGGAAAAATACTACTTTTTAAAAGCTAACAAACTACTATTTCATATTATTTGTAAATGATCAGTCAGTATCAGAATAAAAATACAAACACTGTCACAGTATAAATTACACATGTGAAAAGCTTGCTTTGAGTGTAGTTCCCTGGAGTAGAATCACATTTAATAGCTAAAATTATGAGAGACTGGAGCTCAGTGTAAGGAAAAAATCATTTTTAAGAGCAGCTCAAATATGAATTTACCATGTAGGGGAACTAGATACAGGAGGCCTTTAGGAAATGTGAATTATCACTAACCAGATATGCTGTAAAGTAATTTCAGGCCTAAGTCTTTCCCAAATGTAAGAATCCATGATTTTATGTCAACCATCTCCTGAGAATCAGTGGCTCAAGGGATTCATTTTACAAACAAGCTATCTTGTTCTGTTTCAGCTGTATAAACTTCACAACCCTTTCAAGCCAAGGCATAATTTTAAAAACAAAAATGCTTTTTTTCAAAAAAGTATCTGTGGCTCTCAATTTTCTACTGCTGAAGTAATAATCAAAACCAGCTCTAGACATTTTGGACCAAATAATTCCTTGAAAAGGCTGTGCTATGCCCCTCAGGATGTTTAGCTGTATCACTGACCTCTACCCACTAGACTTAACAGCCAAAAATGTCTCCAGACATTGCCCATCTCCTCTCTGAGAACTACTGGTACTAATATTTTCTTTATAGCTCTCTACAGACAACTTATTTACTTTTGGCTGGTTCTACTTACAGATATTATTTAAGTATATATACAAAAGGGAATGATGTCTCAAAGTCAAACTTCTATGGTTCCAGAGTGATTAAAAGCATAGGCTCTGCACCTGCAGATTTGGGCTCAGAAATTTATTTGCAAAATTGGTTTCTTCTAAGAAGTAAATGTGATAAAGCATTTATAAAAAGCTTAGCACCTGAGACATCGTAAAAAAAAATATATACTTAAAAAAATATATATGTTTTATATATATATATATACTTTTTTTTATGCTCTCGGTAGAGTGCCTCACAGCTTACAGCAACCTCAAAGTCTTGGGCTTAAGCGATTCTCTTGCCTCATCCTCCCAAGTAGCTGGGACTACAAACGCCCCCTACAATGCCCGGCTATTTTTTGTTGCAGTTGTCATTGTTTAGCTGGCCTGGGCCAAGTTCAAACCCTGGGTGTATATGGCTGGCGCTGTAACCACTGTGCTATGGATATCCAGCCTGAGACATCATAAATTAAAGCTACTATTTGGGGCTAATTTTTACTTCACTCTATGTAGAAAATATGCAGTGCACCTTGTATCAAGAGAAACTGGTTGGTTATGTATCTTGAATAAATTGTTTTTCACGAATATTTCCATCTTCCTGAAGGAATCTAGAATTTTTTTTTTTTTGCAGTTTTTGGCCAGGGCTGGGTTTGAATCCACCACCTCCAGCATATGAGACCGGTGCCCTACTCCTTTGAGCCACAGGCACTGCCCTAGAAAAATTTTGAAGATAGTTCTCTCTTACTATTGCATAAGGAACCTTCAAATTTACTCTCATGATTCCACCACTCAGCATCTTTTTCTTTCTTTTTTTTAGAGACAGAGTCTCAGTCTATCACCCCCAGTAGAGTGTTGCGGCATCACAGCTCACAGCAACCTCCAGCTCTTGGGCTTAGGCGATTCTCTTGCCTCAGCCTCCCGAGTAGCTGGGACTACAGGCGCCCGCAACAACGCCTGACTATTTTGTTGTTGTTGTAGTTTGGCCAGGGCCGAATTTGAACCTGACGCCCTTGGTATGGGGGGCCGGTGTGCTACTGACTGAGCCACAGGCCCCGCCCCACCACCAAGCATTTCAATGGGAAAAACTGGTAGAATGGCTGAAATTCCGAACACAATTCACATCCCCTAAATGGCTGAAATTCTGAACACAACAAACTCACATCCCCTAAATGAAAATTCATTGACAAGAACTACCAGAGGTGGGCTCTCCAGATCTTCTTTTAAATATAATTTACTTTGTCTTAAATACAAAACCCTACAGCGGTTTTTACAACTTGAGTTGTCCCTAAATAACTGCTCTTCCACTCTTCAAAAACTACTTGCTCTTACTTTCTATCTAACCTAAATTTTGGTATCTCCATCCTTCTAAACCCACAGACTAGAAAGTTTAAGT